AAAAGTATTAGTATTATATCTTATGACTGCGTGGGCATAAATACAAATGAAAACTTCAGCCCTATAAATTCTGCTTTTTATTCTGGTTTTCAAATGAATTTTTAAATTTTTAATAAAAACATTTAAAAGTCTTCAAAGTAATAAATATTAAAAGAATGTTCAACCCTAGACACATGCCTATAGGTTGAGTCTGGCCTTAGTGACCCTTCATGACTTAAAGCCTTTCTCAATCATACTTACTGCTTTTGGGGTCTAGTTGCATTAAGCTTTCCAAAAATTTGAGGCCCCAAATTTCTGGACTCTCTCATTTTATTTGATTTCTGTTTGCAAATCCCCAGTCATTTTTGCCTGAGCTCACATCCTTGTGTTATAACTTACTACACCAAGCCAATAAATAGTTAAGATTTTATTTTCTAACCTCTTCCTTCAGAGCTTATAAGCTTGGTAAACACTGTTCTTCTTTTCAAGAGACTGCAGACAGCAGCGTTACCAAATATCTTGCTACGCAATTTGAGTCTCTGCATATAGTTCTAACCTCCAATTTCAGTCTCATTATCCATCATCTGTTAAGCCAATGCTTTATATTTTAGGTTTGTGTTACAGCTGCATGTCACTACCAGTCAACAAGCTCCATATAAGTTAAGGCAGTCTAGACATGATAATAGATCAACTCCCAATTATTACTGTAGGATGAGCACTGGACTGCGATCCATAAGGTCAGCGGTTCAAACCCACTAGTCATTCCAATAGAGAAGGATGAGGCTTTCTTCTCGCATGAAGACTTAATGGTCTTGGAAACCCTACACAGGGTCACTCTGAGTTGGAATGGGCTCGATGGCAGTGAGTATCACAGTAAGATTTTACTTCCTGCCACACAAATGGCAGTGGACAGTTGATAGTGAGGGAGAGTGGGGTGTAATGAGGTTTCTGTCCCACACTGAGACAATTCCCAAGGTCTGCTTAGAAGGTACTGGCACCCAGTCAATAGAAAGGTAGCATAGTGGTTACGAGTTGGACTACTACCCTCAATTTCAGCAGTTCGAAACTGCCAGCTGTTCCACAGGAGAAAGATAAGGCTTTCTGCTCCCATAAAGATTTACAGCCTCGGATCTATATGGGGTCGCTATGAATCTGAACTGACTCCACAGCACACTACCACCACCACCAACAACAACAGAAAGGGGAAGAGAGAGTGGAAGACTACAGAAAAAGGTTTTTAGAATTAGGCTTGGCTGGAATGGTCCTAACAGTACTGTAAGAGGTAACCGTGCACATCTCTCACAATCTGGAGGTGTGCATTCTAGGAGTCATGGGGGCAAAGTCGAATCAGGGACCTAGGCTCCTTTTAACTTGACATTTGGCTTGGCATGACTTCCATTCCCGTAAGATCACCTCATGATCCAATGGGCTGCTGTAGCTTCAGCTAGTACTTTCTCCTTCCAGGTGGCAGCATGAAGAAAACACAGAGAGAGTCTGATTATTCTTTTACAGACTTCCTGGAAGCATCCACACCTCACTTCTGTTTCATGCCCCTGATCGGAACTTAGCCATGTCTAGATGCAAGGGAAGCTAGAAGGTGTAGTCTTTACACTAAATGGACAAGCATCCAGCTAAGGAAGAAGGAGAAACTGGATATTGGGATTCTGAAGTAGGAGTCTTTGCTACAGCTAGATTTTCATGTGAAATTCCCAGTTTTTAACACCGTATCTGTCATCTAGTTTCAGCATAGGAACTGCTAGTTTTGTGAACCTGGTGTACAGGAAGGTTAAGGAAGTGTAGGATCAACCCAGCTCCCCAAGAGCTCACTAGCCTTCTCCAGCCTCAGACCTGGGCTGGGTCCTTGCCTCAGGCCCTCTGACAATTCTCTCCTTCTCAATGCTTGGATCTCCTACCATGGTGAGACCGTCTTGCCAGAAGAGGTACCATGGTGTGGTAAAAAAGTACTGGATTTTCTGGAAGACTTATCTCACTTGAATCCGTGCCCTAATTATTGACTAGTTGAAAACAGAAATACTTTTACAACCGTAAATTGAGAGTAATAGCACTCTCCGTACATGCGTCACAGGGTCTTTTTTTGAAGGATTCACATGGGTCACTTCTTTAAAGTTTTTTGTTGAAAGAAGGAAAGAAAAGAGGAAGGAAGGGAGGGAAGAAAAATGTCTAAAAGACTGCTTTATGTACAAAGTTGAAGTAGCTGTAAAAATTCTCTGTGAGCGTCTATATATGCTGAATATTAATGACTTTATTGACACAAACTTTGCAATGAAAAGCTTTATCCTAATAAGATAGTTAGAATCGGTTCCTGGATCATGCACATGTGAGAAAACATTGCCAGATGAGTTCTCAGTATTATGGTGTGACTTCTTGTTACTGTCTTAGTGCGATCCAGATGGTTCTGGGGAGAAGCAGAACCTTCATTTCCTTTTCTACCCAGAAGTGCAAAACTCTTTGTATATAAAGACACTTGGCTCGATTGATAAATTCCAAACTATGTGCAACCGTTAAATGATATAAAAATAAAATTGTAAGGAGAAAGCACGCTTATCCCATGACTGACAGCCCAGAGACTTGTGAAGGAAGCCTTACACAAAAGCACACATACTTGCCCTCAAGAATGAGCCCTTGAACATGCACAATCATTGCAGGCACCCTTTTGGCAGATGGAGGCTTTTGCTGAGTAATGCCAGTGGGACATATGAGTCATAGGTTTTTTAAATGATCATTTTATTTTTTAATTTTCAGAACATGAAGTTCCCTAGAAGCCCTTTCTCAAAGAATCAGAAAATGATAGCAGTTTGGGAAAACTAGTTTTGTGCAAGGAAAAAACTTGTTATAATAATTAGGAGAACACCCAGATCTGGAGCCTAAGACACACACTGGCCCTAAATATCAAAAGGAAACTTCACTGCAGAGCAATTCATAACATGCACCATCCCTTAGGGAAGAAGTCAGTATCATAGTAAGTCCAGTGCCAAGATTCACAGTATCATCATGACTGGCCAGACTCCAAATCCTTCAGCATCTGTACACTGCCTGAAACAGTGTTGGTGTTTCTGTTGAATGAATAAATATACAATGTACCACTGAAGAATGAATGAATAAATGTATTGACATTACCCACTTGTATCTGAATAACAACAAAGAGTTCCAGGGTAACAGGCTGAGTACCATCAGATGCATGCAAAAGCTGGACAGTGAATAAGGAAGACCATAGAAGAATTGATGCTTTTGAGTTATGGTGTTGGAGGAGAATATTGAAAGTGCCATGTGCTGCCCAAAGAACCAACAGATCTGTGTTGGAAGAAGTGCACCCAGAGCGCTCCTTGGAGGCCACAATGGCCAAACTTCATCTCTCATACTGTGGACATATTGCCAGAAGGGACCAGTCACTAGAGAAGGATACCATGTTTGGTAAGGTAGAGGGTCAGAGAAAAAGAGGAAGACCCCCAGCGAGATGGATTGGCCAAGTGGCAGCATCAATGGGCTCAAGTGTGACAACAACTGTGAGGTTGGCCCAGAACCAGGTAGTGTTTCATTCTGTTGTGCATAGGGTCACTATGAGTCGGTATCCACTCGATGGCACACAACAACAACAACAACAAGGATGAGTATCTGAATTTTAACTTGCTTATATCAATTCTCTGGAGTCCTGGTATGGTGCAGTAGGATAAGCACTGGACAGCTAACCATAAGGTTGGTGATTAAAATCCTCAAGTCCCTCCTTGGAAACCCTGTGCAGGGTCACATATAACAACAACGGCATATCAATTCTCTGGACAATGTTACATAAACATACACCTTCAGATTGCCTAGTTCAGCTAAATGTGCAGTTTATTAGGATAGTTTGGTACAATTTTAATTCTATCTTTCCCAATCCCAAGCATGTTAACAGTCCTTTAAACATCATGCTACGTTACTCTGGAGAAAAATCGTTCCTGCTGAACGTGTTTAAAGGAATACTAGAAAATTACTCCTATCTAAAACATGATTTTGTTTTGTTTTGTTTTGTTTTACTGCACCAGCTACCTTATTTCTAACTCAGTGCACATCAACCTAATGCCAATATGGATGCACATCAACTTTTTTTTTAATACCAAAATGACAGTTTTGGGATGTGTACTGAGAGGTCAAATAGAACCATGTGTGCTGCCAAACCCCCTTGTAAGCTGTGTCATCTTTGATTCGAAATTGCAAAATGACCTGAGTGAGAGAGAAAACACTCAATAACCCAAGCGACAGAAACTGGAGAAAACTCTGAAAAATGCAAAGTCAGGCTGAGCTATGAGGACCTACCTAGGTCAGGTGTACTACCTACAGCGGCACTGAACTTGAGGTTAGCAGGCTGATGTGGATGCCAGCACAGGAGGCAGATGACAAATGGGTGTGATTAGCTGCCTTACAGGTCCCTGGAGACCTCCCAAAGACACCTCGGGCATATCGGTGGAATGAGTTTGTGTGAAACTGGAGCAGAGTTTATCTCATACTGAGCTAGGGAAACATGAATTACAGGGAGTGCTCTTGTTTCTGGATTTCTCATCTCTCTGGGCTTACAGTTGGGTGAAAGCCAACACGTAAGTAAACACAGTAAGTTTTGTGATGGTAGTATTTAAAAAGGAAGAACAAAGCAAAAGCTTGCCTGAAACAGTCTACGGGACTGTGCTCAGGAGAGCTTAGAACTGACTTGTGAATCTTTCAGCCAAGGAAGCCCCACCTCTTACTTTCCTGTTTCAGAAACTGGCTTGTGGCTCTCGCTTGCTCTCTGCTTTTACCTCCAGCCTCAAGTGAACTGAACTGCATGTTAGCAGTTTATTAACATGTGTAGGTACTGTGCCAATACAACGATGTGATAAATAGCAGGCTAAGAATGTCTCAACAGCACAGGCAGCTGTTTGAGGCAGGTAAGATGCTCTGCAAGGGTCATCCACTTCTCTGAGGTTCCTTGATGGGATCCAGTACAGTGAGGGGCACCAAAGACGTCCCCCTTCTATCAGAACACTCTGCTAGTTGACACAGTTCTTGGTGATCCTTTGACTTCTGTCCATTTGTCGGTTGCTGTTTGTAACACTGATGGTGACTTCTTTTGCAGACATCCGTTTAGCATCTCTTTTAGCCTGGTAAAAAGTTTAAAACAGTAAATTGAGATATTAGAAAATATCCAATGTTCCTACATTTACATTAATCTCTTGAGATTGTTACAAACACATACACACAGAAGCTGAAAGAATGGCACACAAGGACACATGTTCCTTTTGATTGGTTTCTGTTGAATCTGTAATAGCAAACTATTGTGCTTAGGAAACACTGTCGAATGAATGGTGGGGGGGTTGGTATGCGGGGTTGCACAGTTGGTTTTAGTGTAGTGGGTAAGGGTTGTGACCTTTGAGTTAGGCAGACTTTGGGTCAAATACTGGCTATACAATTTCACAATGGGCAAGGTTTTTCTAACCTCTCCAATCCTTAATTTCGTCATCTGTAAAATGGTGAATAATAACAGAACATACTTCACAGGATTAAGGAGCCCTGGTAGCATAGTGGGTTATGTATTGGACTGCTAACAACAAGGTCAGCAGTTCAAATCTACTTTGAGGAAGAAAGATGAAGTTTTGTGCTCCAGAGATTTACAGTCTCTGAAACCTTATACAGCGTGGCTATGAGTCAGACCTGAGTTGACAGTACACCACCTCCTCATAGGATTATTATAATAATGATATATGCACTTAGGGTACTTAGTAAAATGTTGTTTTTGTTGTTAGCTGCCGTGGAGCTGATTCGGACTCATGCTGACCCCATGTGTGCAGAGTGGCACTGCTCCATAGGGTTTTCAAGGCTGTGACCTTTTAGAAGACAATTGCTGGGCCTGTCTTCTGAGATGTCTCTGGGTGGATCTGCACCACCATGACATCCTACTTAGTACAATGCCTTCACTATACAGAAATAAGGGGGGGAGGGGTTAGTAAGTATAAGAACCAAAATGTAGGATAGACTATAGACTTCAAAGTGAAGATAAAACTATGATAAAAGTCCAGAATTAATACTACAAGGGAGAAAAGCAGAGTGTGGGACCCTACCCAGAGAAGCACTGATGCCAGAGATGGAGGCAGAGACGATGATGTGGAGAGATGGAGTGACTGGGGACTCTAGAGCCAGAGAGGGAGAGGGGCTGTGTGCTGATGGCTGGGGGCAGGCTTGCGGGGTGTACCCTTTGGTTGTTTGATGATGCATGGAGGGGATTGTAATCATTGCAATGAAACAATATATTAATATATGATAGGATGAATGTAAAGCTGGTTTTCTCCCATGTAAACTATCACATAACTCACAATAAAAACATAAAAAAAAAAAAGAATACTAAATACTAAAGCATTAACTCTATGTGCCCAGTGTTCCATCCTCATCCCCACCAAAGAGACAAAATGAACCAGTGGGGCCAACTCTTAGTCCATCCCACTCAATGATCACATGTTCTATAAGGAGAATGAGGTGGGCTTTGAGTCAGCGTCTTCAGTGATTGGTGTCAGAAATGTGCTACCCAGACCCCATTTCAGGAAGGATCTGCTGCCCAGCTACTGGGAATAGTCCACAGATAACCTCCGATTATCAATTCCTTCAGAGGTGGCCTCAGCTGCTGAGAATCACCTTATTCAAGGTCCCATCTTTGCCAGGGTGACCAGAAGTATAAAAGCCTGGAGTCATGGTGTAGTTCTGTGGGCTGATACTTCAGACTGCAAAGTCATTTGAACTGCAAAGTTGGTGGTTCAAGCTCACCAGTTTGTCCTTGGAAACGTTATACAGGGTTGCTATGGGTCGGAATCAAATCGACAGCACTTAACAACAACAACAATTCTGGCCTAAAGTAGGGTACCTCTGATTGGCCATATTAGTTCCAGAGATCCCCATGTAGTGAAGTGGGCTGATGGCAGGCTCAATTTCTCAGTCCACTCTTGCTTCCATCTCTCCCTTGCACAGGTGTTGACAACAAGGTCACTTCCTGTATAGTGACATCTCATTGCCAGCTTCCTGGAAAACACAGTCTCGGGTTCTGTGGGAGCATCTCTCATAGAGTGAGCTGTGAGTCTAGTGTGGACACATGTATATTTTTCTCATAACTTGGTCCTCTGAACACAAGCCAACCACTTCATCTGTAGTGCATTCAAAGAAACTGTAGTGCATACAAAGAAATGGTGGTCTGTTGTACCCCTGGAGAAAAATTTAATTGTTCTGTTGTATGTATTAACAAAAGGAACCCTAGTGGTGCTGTGAATTAGTGATTAGGCAGCTAAAACACACCAGCATCTCCAAGAAAGAAAGATCTACTGTAAAGATTTACAGTCTTGGAGAACCTAAGGAGACATTCTCCTCTGTCGTTATGAGTTGGAATTGACTTGATGGCAGAGGGTATGTATTGATAACCGATATGTAGGCTTCTTGTACTAACTTCTGGTGATGCCCCTTCTCCACATTACCTTACTTAACCAGTGCCTCTAGTCTCAGACTGTGGAAACTGTTAGTTGCTAACCACTCACAGCAGCGTCTTTCTTCTGAGATTTGCTTTCATCTGATTGAATGCCCCTACCCTGGAAATACCAAGGAGGTTACACCCTACCCTTAGAGGTGATCTACAGTCAATGACTGACTGTCAGGCTACAAAAGGCTGATCCTTCTGTGTCACGGGAGTTCAAATCTATGATGCCACCCTGGGGAATCAGGTTGAGGCTACACTGTGACTGTTCAGATGAGCTGATACATTTGCTGAACTTGGTCCCCTATCCTGTCTTGCTTCCCTCATCACCTTGAAGTTTTCTCCTTAGAGCGGTCTTTCATCAATCACCGGATGGCAAAAGGACTGCTTCCAGGGACCCTAACATGAGACAATATTTTACAGCCAATTGGGAGGATGTTGTTGCTGCTGCTATAAAGTGCTGTGGAGTTGGTTCTGACTCATAGCGACCGTATACAGGGTTTCTGAGGTGCAGCTGGTGGGTTCGAACCACTGACCTTGAGATTAACAGTCCAGTGCTTACCCTACAGTACCACATGCAAACTCTTTGGGAGATGTAGAAGGATAATTTTGACTACGTGTCCATTTGGCCTTTCCCACTGATTTCCCTCTTCATGTTTCCAGTGCTGAGCACTGTTCTGAGACACAGTAGGTCCTCAGTTTAACTTTGGTGGAATAAACTGATGAATGAGCAAACAAAGTTGCCAAAAAAAAAAAAAAAAATGTACCCTTGCTTTAACAACCAGTTGCTGTGTTATTCGGTGCTGTGGAGTTCATTTTGACTCGTAGGGTCCCACGTGTTAGAGTGAAACTGTAGTCATGAGGGAGGCAGATGGACAGGTCTTTCTCCCATGGAGATGCTGGATAGCTCTGATCTGCCAGCCTTTCAGTAAGCAGTCGACTATACAACCATTTGTATCTCACAGGCTCCTTTTCTAATATCCAGTAGTCCATACTATTTGGAGTTCAATCTCAGCTCTTCTGAACCTGAACTTGCTCCAGGGCTAGCAGTGGGTTTTTTTGTGGGTTTATTTTCCCTAAAAGCAGAAAACTTATAAAGTCCTATAGCCTTCAAAGTAGACACCTCTGGGTATCAGTCCTGTGATCTTTCAAGCATTCCTCCCAACAGTAGTTACTTCATCCTCCCACTTCACTTTGGACTGGCTCACACGCTAATCTGGAAAAAAGCTTTGTGGAAAAATAGTAGGGACCCATTCTGTTTCCTAATGAAATGTGTGGAGATTCTGAGGCCAATCCCATCTGACTTCCATTTCAGTAGTTATCACCTAGAACAGAATCAACACAGAGGCCTGATTTGAAGTGAACCAAGCCCTAAAATTGGTAGGGAGTCAGAGAGTTTTGCAGAATGGAAATAGAAACGTTCTGGACTGCATACTTGATTTTCTTTACAGTTATTGTTTACAATAACTTTACAGTTATTGTTAAAGGTTACACAGAACATGCTGTGCTTCATGTTTCCATAGGAGAAAGATTAGGTTTTCTGTTCTTGGTGTGGTGCTGTGGGTGAATGCGCCAGACTGCAAAGCTGTTTGAACTGCAAAGTTGGCAGTTCAAGCTCACCAGCTGCTCCTAGGAAACCCTATACAGGGTCGCTATGGGTCAGAACCGACTCAACAGCACTTCACAACAACAAAGATTTATAGACTCCGAAACTCTCTGCAAGGTTGCTATGAGTTGGAATCAACTCGATGGCACTTAACAAAAACAACACGTTTCAATCTGCATTTCTAGCTTTAAAATCTCAGCAAAAATTCAGGTGCTTTAATGATTCTTAATTTCCAAGGCTGCTTAAATGTCAAAGACTACTAAATAGTCCTTTATAGAGTAGTCACAGAATGTATATGGTTTTAATGTCAATGCCCGTGGGTGACCTCTGAAGTCAGTCTGCCATAAGCCTACACAATGGAGATGTTCAGAGCACTGACGTTGGGAACCAGACAGACCTGGATTTGGCACAAGGTGCTGCTACTAATGCATTGTCACAAGACATGTTTTAGCCTGAGTTTCAGTCCCCTTACCTGAAAAATGGAGAAGTAATCACTACTCCTTAGAGTTTTTTTTTTAAGGATTAAGTATGTCAGTTTGCATTAATTAGAGGACCAACTTTTGTTGCTTTGCCTTGAATGGTCCCATTTTAAGACTAAAAATTCCATGTCCAAGGAGCCTCCCTAGGCCCTGGCACACCAGGGAAGTGACTCACCCTAATTACAACTATTGTCATCATTTTTGTGTGCAAAATGATGATGTCAATCAAACATACCAAATTCTAATTGAAAATCTTCATATGCTACTAAATTATGACAATGGCAACTACTGTTTCTAAATAACAACAATAATAATAATTCTATTAGGTATGTATTTAGATAAAGGACAAACTGGAATCCTGGATTCAAGTGACAGATGCATAAGGTTCCAAACACTAAAGAAATTCCTTTTCAAAAAATTACACTATATCAACTTGGGCAGTCTTTGGATGGTGCAAATGGTTCATGTACTTGACTGTCAGCCGTTTGAAGGTTTGAGTCCCCCCAGAGGTTCCTTGGAGGAAAAGCCTAGCAATCTACTGAAAAAAGATCAGTCCTTTAAAACCCT